CAGCGCAAAGCAGAGATGAATTAGCAGAAGGATTTAACAGGACTTTGGACTTATGACTACGGTAAAGGGATTTTCCATATGGTTTACGGATTAACGGAAATGTGTGAATTCGGTGATTTATGGTGAAATTGCGGTGCTGGGCTACTCCGAACTCGGCACGGGCGTGCCCGAGGCAGCGGCGGGAAGATCAAAAGCCGCCACCGCAGGAGCCGAGCCACGCCGCCCCGAGAGCGGAGCCGAAGTGATCAAAGAGCACCGCGGGGGGAGCGACCGGAGTCGCGTCGCCCTCATGTGTGAACTGGGGCCAGATGTCCACGGGCGGCCAGTTGCTGCTTGGGAACAGTGACTGGACATCAGAGAGCAGGTGATGGAGGAGCAATCATGCTGTGCATTGATAGTTTTCGTCCTGCTGTTTAGATCAACCAACACCTTTTCTGGGCTCTGATGAGCGTCCAGCGCCATCCATTTTCAGGGCTAGTTGATTCGGCAAGTGAGTTGTTACACACTCCTTAGCGGATTCTGACTTCAGAGCGCTTTTTCCAGCGGGAGCGCTTCTCACTCCACCCTGTAGCCGGCAGGAACTACAGTTTGAGATCTAACAGCCGTAATGATCGTGACTTTTGTCAACAAAAGAAAAGATTCCTATTGCAATTAAAAGACCGGTGAAACTAAACGGGCGACACCAGGGACTGTTGCTGTCGGGATGTTTTTCGCCTAGGTTGGAAAGATCTTTTGTTCTCCCTAGCGCACACTGTGAAACAAAAGCCCAGCAGAGACTGTGAAACAGAAATCAGCGTAAATGAATGCAGGAGTCAAATTTCGGCCGATTTGGCTCGGCATTGGTTATGCTGTCTTGGGAACACCTGTATTGCCAGAGACTTTGAACATCAGAAGCCCGGATGGCTGGGTCGATGAAACATCAGACTCTAGGGCTGTGTTTTGAAAAGTTTAAAAATGTTGAGATGTGTTGGATTGATTGTATGAGTGAGATGTTGTGGGTGTGCTTTTTGGTGTAAATGCTGCAGCAAAAATGTGAGAAGGGTTGTTTTGGTTGAGTGTTTTGGAATCAGGCCTATAAGTAAGTTATAGTAAATGATATATATTATTTCTATGGTAGGTTTTATCTGTTATTAAGTTTAAGTTAAGTTAGATTCTGTTAAGTTTGCATTAGATTTAAGTGATTTTACATGATTTGCAAATAAGTCTGCTAAGTTAAATATTTTAAGTGCTTTAAATGCATACTATTTTTTCACCACTCCAAATTAACAAAGGACTGAGAATCACCCAGCTGATGCCATTTGAGCCAAATGACTAAAGGATTACAGACTGAAAACTGACTTTGAACATTTCTGAGAAACCCATGTAAGGACAGAAAGGAGCATTTTCAGGCTTGTTTACCTCCTCTCCAGGTTGCATGAATGAAAACAGCTAACAGCTTTCTTTTTCTTAGTCCAATTACCACCTGTCGTGCAATGCCTGATAAGGCCGTAACACGCCGTTGCCGGACGACCAGAGAACTGATTGACATTATTGAATCATTATCATCTTTCCATATAAGAGGACTGGCAAAAGAGAACTGTCTTGAATGTCACAGCCCAAATTGTGCTGCTTGGGTTGCACTGTGTTGTGGGGGTTGTGATCAGTTGTCACTTTTTCATTTATGGTGCCACACTTGTAATTATGGACATACTTGGGAACATAATTGGGAGCGAGCACTACGGAATGAGACAAGGCTAAACACTACCTCAGCTTTAGACCTTTATGAATCTCATGAGCAGAAAATCTTGGCTTATTATCGGTGGGAGGTACAGTGTATTTTGAAAAGGGTTAAAGTTCAAAGTGCTTCATATATAGCCTCGATAAGGTGTAGGAAACTGGTGCCTTTAACACAACATTCTGTTGCAGGTCCTATAAGAGGAGATCCCAATCAAGCATTAGATAATTGCATCTTCCAACGGTGGGTGGTTCAGCTTTGATTACTCTAAATTTCAAAGGGTGAGTCAGTACAAACAGACATGGGCTACTCTAGATTCATCTTTAAAACCGGAAATAGTGTCCAAACAGCTTTATAACCAGTGTAAAGGCTCTACTATTATGACACCTAAGAAATTACCCACAGGGATATTTTTAATTTGTGGAGATAGAGTCTGGAATGGAATACCAGCCCAACCGCAGGGTGGACCTTGTTATTTAAGCAAGTTATCATTATTCCACCTCTGAGCACTGGTTCTGATCCTTCTCCACAGGATCACATTTCTGACACTGAGTGTCCTGTTTGTCCTCAGGCCTTTGGTGCAGCTGAGCCCTGGCAGAGCGGGGTCTGCACTTTTGGAGTTTGTTATGAGGCCCCCACACGGAGCTGCTCTGAAGTTTGAAGTGTTGCCAAGCATAGTGGATGAGTTCCCTTCTCTTTTCTTTGCCCCTGACAGTGAACAGGAGGTAAAGTCTCCTCCACAAGAGTTTCTGTGAGGAAAAACTTCACCATTATCTTACCTTGTTGTATCCAAAAAAATAGTCAGTAAGATAATAGAAAAAACCTGCAAACTAACCTCCTTTCTTAAAAAAGAAAAAACGGGGGAATGTCGGAGAATGACTTAAAGAAAAGGCCATGAGACATACAATTGAGAGAAAAGTATAAGGGAAAAGTAAAGCAGTTCTCAGCCTTCTGATTTCTATAAACAATTAGACTCTCTTTATAAACAATAAAGTTCTCAGACAGTCTTCCCATAACAAGCAGAACACCGTCTCTGGGAAAACCTGGCACCCTGAGAACAGATGTAGAAGTTTTGGGAACACTGGTTCTGTTTTTAATAAACAATTGTAGGTATTCTAAAACAAGAGGAGTGGTTAGAAGTTTCTCTGTTAGCCTATCATGAATCTGGGTTACAGAATATTCATGGAGTTCGTTAGCACTGTTATTTAAGGTGATTGATTGATCAATAAAATTGGAGTTCGATGCATTACCAGGATGGTCGTTCTCCCTTCACTTCAATACCTGGGGAAACTCAACAATGATTCCTAGGGTTCAGGAATCTAGATGCAAAGGACCTGATGCCTATTACACCCCTACTGAAAAAGGGCTACTGGCATTTCAACTGTGTATTATAAAGAGGTTCAAGCATCTTCAGAAGTGATTAGCACCAAAGCACAGCTCCTCCTGGCATTCCAACTGCCAGTGCTGGGCTGAATGTTCAAAAGAAAAATCTCTTCCATACATCATGCCACTGTTATGTGGAGTAAATGGGTCATGCTGATCACACAGTGAGCTTGTACAGGAAACCCTGACTACACAGGCATCTTAGAAGTCATGACAAACCAAACCAAAAATAAAAATTTTGTACTAAAATCAGAGGAGGAAAAGGTGATACATGCTGAGGAGGCCCCACCATATAATCAGCTACCTGAAAAAGAAAAGTGTTATGCTGCTTTTACTGACAATTCCTCTCATATTGTAGGGATACATGGAAAAAGGAAGGCTGCTGTATGGACTCCTGTGTGGTGAGTCACAGAAACTTTTGAGGAACAATGTGGATCAAATCAGGTTGTGGAGCTGAATGACGTCCAGCTGGCTTTAAGTATCACTGAACAAAATAAATGGCCAATGCTCTAGCTGTAACTGACTCATGTATGGTAGCAAATGCTCTGTGGGGATGGCTAAAACTACTGAAAAAGACCTATTGGCAGCACAGAGGTAAAGCCACCTGGGCTGCTGAATTGTGGCAAGACATTGCTGCTTGGGTAGAGAAGTTGGTTGTAAAAGCATCATGTAGATGCACACATACCCAAAAGTCAGGCTATTGAAGTACATTGCAACAATGGACAGGTGCATTGGGCAGCCAAGAATGAAGTCTCTCAGGTGGCAACATACGCTGAATTATTTTTAGCTCAGTGGGCCAATGATATCTTAGGTCACTGGAAAAGAGATGCAACATAGCAATGGGCTTGTGATGGAGAAGTGGACTTAACCATGGACAATAAGCATGGACTACGACAGATGCACCAGTTTTGAGCTCCTGATGCAGCTTGCAACCAGCCCTCCTGCTCTGGAAAACACTTAAAACCTGCAGTCATGGACTAGATGGACTCAAGAGACATCTTGGAGGAATGGATATCGACTGTGGAAATTATACTTGTTTGTATATATATATATGCACACACACATTCATATACATACATACGTACAATGACATATATAAATATAGAAGTTGGAAGGATTAGAATCCGGGCACTATTTTATACCATATAAATGGTATAAAATATGGGGTGGATAATGTTTTGCTTCTGGCCAGGACACAGTTAATTTTTGCAACAGCCAGGAGGGGGCATGGCTAGGACCCAGAGGTTATTCTATACCACATCAGGTCATTGCCAGGGGCAGGGCTAACGCAGTCTCTTCCAAGGAGAAGGGGTTTCTTCTGGTAGAATAAGCATGGGCCCGATTCAAAGCCAAGGAGGAATGGCTGAGTGGCACTAGTTCTGAGCCAGAGGGAGTGGTTGGAGTGGCATGGCTATGGTTGGGTCAAGCTGCATGGTGGACATTTTTGCATGAGGATCACTTTTTTTTGTATACTTTCTATTAATAACACTCTTGCTCTTACTGCTAATTTTCTTATTTCATTGCTGTTTCCAGTAAATTGTTCTTATTTTAATCTGTGATCCTTACCTTTTGTGCCTCCAATTTTTCTCTCCAACCCAGCCCAAGTGGGATGGGGAAAGACAAAGGGGGACAGCAAGCAGCAGTGTGGTTTGGAAAGTCTCAATGGGAGCACTAAATTGCCAAGCAGCATTTCTAAACCATGACACTGAATTTAGTGATCAACCTGCTTAGAAGAAAAAGCAAACCTGTGGTTGAAGAGGGCTGAGAAAAATGACTCCAGATTAAATCAGATACAGATTCAATTGTCCACCAGATGTTCAGTAGCACATTTCCTCCACACAGCAAATACATTAGTCACACAGTCGAATTACACATGCAAATGAGAAAGTCAATAAACACATACCAACAAAATTTTTCCATGAGAAATGATTTTCTGCCTGCTTCCATGACTGTGGCCATGCCATCAGGACCGTGTTGTGCTTCATCCCTCCTAGACCAGCTGACTGAATCAAATAGGATATTCCATCTCTGAAGTTAGGAGATACCACAATCTGGCAAAATCCTTTAGTCTTTTCTATACCCATTAAGGCCTTAACATTCTGCAATAGGAAAATTACACATAAGGAAATACAAACCATCAACACTGATAATTAACACCAGAAGTAGTAACAGCATTAAATAATAGCAAAACTATATCAACAATGTATAACCAACATGAAGATATCACTAATTCCAAAAGAATGAACATGATTCTATGAAATCTAGAGCCCAAATTGCTACCACTCCAAAAGACACCACACAGTTTTTTCATTATTTTAATTATTCAGCCTTTTATTTCCAAAGAAGAATGAACAAGACATGAGTAAAAAAACACATAGATGAAGATAAATGAAGTAACACTGCTTCAGGTAAATTCAAAACCAGTGACTGACAAAGCAGCGTATGGTTAGAATGATCAGTCATTTCTTTTGGAATTGGAAGAGTTTGGAAGTGTGATGCCAAGTACTTAAAAAGATGAGGCAGCCAAAGTTCCTTAAATACCTTTGACATTAAGAGGCTAATAATTTATCAGCTCCCAACATGGAAAAACAGATGTGCAGGAGAAAATTGGAAGCACTGTCCAAATAATGACAAGATAAACTGACCAGATTAAATATCCCACACTCCTTTAATTTCAGAATAGCTCCCCTCCATTTAAACATTGACAAACACAAAGACACGTAACAAGGTAGTTTAAAAGAAGCATTCAAACCGGTATCAAGCTTGACCAGGGAACATGAGCTTTGGCAATTATTATTTTTTGATTAAATAACTTTAAAACCCCCCGTCATCATCAGTGACTTGTGGGGGAGATCAACGTGTTTCAGAAGGAAGAACTAGTACATAAATATTTTGTATTTTACAAAAAACAAAAATTTGTCAAAAATCATCAGGAACAGATTAAATCACAGAGTGCCAGGCACTGTCTCAGTGTGGCTTCACATCAGAAACTCTATGTAACAGAGAAAAAAGTCTTCAGAGAATTTGCTAGCAAAGATAACAAGTATGTCTGTACAAATAATATCTGTGAGGGTTTATCAGTTTAAATAGATGGGGTTTTTTTAATGACAGACAGAAGAAAATCTTTCTTTTCTACAGGTCTCCTAGAAACACTTTCTAGTTTAATTTCTCCGGAACCAATGAGGCCTTCAGATGCTGAAACTTTTACAATTCATCTTCATTTCCATTTTAAAAGCAATAGTTTCCTAAATCTTAACATCAGGTCTGACTCTCCAGAAAACCCATGGATTAGGCCGCCCTTAAACTCATTCATTTTCCATCTCTCAGAAAAACAGTCAAGTTAGGCTGTCTACAAATAACATTTCAAATTCTTGTGGGTAAACAGTTTCTGTTTAAAGGTTTTTTCCTGTTTTATTTCATAGGCCTAATTTTGTATTCTTCATCTTGTTTTCTACTCATACATGTTGATAGCAAAAGCTTAGTAACAACTACTTCCACAATACAGCATGGTTGGACTTTTCAGCTTGTTTTCAAGTTAATTGTTCTCTTAGAACCTTTTCATGTGATATCAAATAGGTAATCTATCTTTATACTTTCTTATTTCAAAAACCACTATGGATAGGCCTGAATAACAAGAGGAAGAAAAAGGAAAACTGTGAGGAAATGGGCAGTTAGCTATGTTAGCTAGTCCATTACAAGATTTTAAATGCTCATTTGTTTAAGAGATGAGGTTTGAAAAAAATCACATGGGTTTTTACACAGCTTTGAAGGCTATTTGGATCAAAATAGTAGGCATATCAACTGGTACTCTTTTGAGCAACACTGCAGAAATTAACCAATATGGAAGATATAATGGCAATCAAAACCTACTTTTGGACATTTCAAAAACATACAGGAAACACGATAGTTTCTCCAAATGTTTCCCCACTCTATAAGTATAGGAGGAGGAGAGTTTGCATAGGCAAGTAAACACAAGTATTATTTTTAAAGAAATTGAATTGAAACTAAATTTACTTGTGTTTGTAGGTATAGTTAGATATAATTTTAAATTATATAACAACTTACTATTTTTTCCTACCTAGCCTACTTTTTCTGGACATATGATATAAATAGAAAAATAAAATAAAGGATCCCAAGAAGGATCCTGTTCACAGTTTTCTGGCAAAGAGTACTCCTAATCCTGATTCTCATATGTATTTCTAGAAAGATGTAGAAAATCACGTAATGAGGATGATATTATGCCAAACATTTGCATTTATTAGTTAAACATTAAATATTTTGTTAAATATATGCTGGTTTCTTTATAAGGTAATTTGTTAAAGCTTTGTGGGTTTTGGTGATTTTTTTGTTGTTGTTTTGGGGAGTTTTTGTGGGGGGGGTGTTGGTTTTTTGGGTTTATTTTTTTGAGAGGGGTGTTAATTTTTTTTTTTTTATGTAATTTGATTGTAAGCCCAGGACTCTCAATATTAAAGAAAAAGCTAGGAAGTATCAGTGTTGCCTCATCCTATTAGAAAATTTTATCAAACATTTTGCTACATACACCAATCCATTCTTTTTATATAATCACTGATTGTGCTGAAAGCAAAATTAGATGTCTTATTCAACATTTTACAACAGTCTGTTCTCATTAAATATATAAGCTATCCAGATTCAACATTTAAATACTAATGTAAATTACAAGTATTTGCAAGCTCTCTTTTACATACCTCTTCAGCTTTGTGAGTTTCTGTACATTTGTCTAAGTAGATTCCCTGAAGCACAGAACCCACAATAGTCAGTCCTTTACCAGCCTTCAACTGAGAGGTAAAAGAAAGCAATCTAGGGTGTTTGACTAACTGTTCATTATCCAAGTTTAACAAGACCAAAAGTTGCGGTCTGCCAAACAAAGGGAAAAGAAGTTTAGTGCACACACACACATTCATTAGGAAGAACTGGAAAATTAAAATGAAGAATTAATAAAATGCAGATTAATTGCTTAATTCAATGGAAAACAGCCAACTCCTAAGTAGATAAGCCATAATTTGCAATTACAAACAACAGTTCAGGTACGGAATACATAAATCATCACAATGTCATCTTGAAAAGTTCCATTAAAGACCAGTTTCCCCTAGAAAATTATAAAATCACTCTTCCAATGTCATCTGGTGCAACCTGCTGCTTGAAATGACTAAACACTGAACATTGTTTACTGCTTCATTCAGATAGATTTGGAAAACATCTAGAAACAAACCTCTGGGTCACCTCTTCAGTGCTTAATTATTTTATCACGTTCTCTTATTCTCCAATCCTAATCTGCTGTAAGAAATCCATCTTCTCAGTAACCTTCTTTTAGGTTTTGTATGTTTAATTAGTTAGTTATATCTTTAACCTCTTCAGCCTCCTCCAAGTTGAATAGGCATAACCTGTCAGTCCCTCCTCACAAGAGAGATGCCCCTGTGCTCCAACCATCCTCTGCGGTTGTATCTACTCAAGTTTGTCATTCCTACATCATGGTACATAAACATGGAAGAAATAGTCTAAATGTATTCTAATGAGTACTAAACAAAAATAAACATCCCCCAATATATCTACTTCTCAATGTACTATTTGTCCTCCTGTCCAGCATGTCATTGCCAAGACACATTGCTGGATTACTATCTCCTGGGAACCACAGGCCCTTTTTATGAAAGCAGCTTCCCAGTCTTGCATCACTGCTCTGAATATGCCTGTACTAGGCATATTCAGGTAAGGATAGAAAGATAACTGCAAGTTATCTATTCTGGATTTTTATGATGCTCTCAAATGACCCACCCCTCTACCTGTGTAGTTCCTTACAAAAGGACAGTCAACCCCTTAATCATACTAAGAGTACCCAAAGTTCAGTTTCAACTGCATACTAGATGAGGATGCACTCTGTTTCCTTTAATCAATATTCAATCTACTTACTTTTCCCAAATCAACATTTTATACTTTTCCTGTATTGCTACAAATTCAAAAGACTGATGACAAGTTGGATCATACTTCCTACCTCAAAATTAGCACAGTTTAAGATGTAACAAGATTGTTCAGTTCTAGCAATTACACTGACAAAACAGAAAGCTCATTTGGAACTGAAGCAGTCAAATATTTAACAGGATTGTCAATGCTACATTACATTGGTATTTCTGAGATGCCAAGTTCATCAGTCCCAGGAAAAATGGTAAAGTAATGCCATTGTACTGAAGGACTACAAAACACTGCATGTGCACACACCTCATGATATCACTGAGCAGTGACTAGAATTAAAGTATCACATTACATTCATCAGAAGTGACAATGTGCAATCGTCCTTTATTTTTAAATGTTAAGTAACTTTTAAAGTTGGCTTTGAGGAAAATTAAATTTAACAAAAATTAAATTTAAAAAAAATACATTGCAAAAATAGTAGAGGACATCTAACTCCATTACAGTAAAATGTGAGATTTTGTTTTAATGGCATCTAAGCAATTTAGAAAGTGCTACTTTTGAATGAAGCTATATAAAAAGAATACCATAAAAAAGAATTTAAACAAAAAAGGGTCCTCTGTAGATTTGTACAATGTATTTTGGAGGATACATACACACACACACAAAAAAAAAGTGCTTATGGAATTGCAGTGTTTCTTCTGTAGACACAGTGAGATTCAAGGGTAACTGTTTCTTTGACACTGAAAAATCTATACTTTATCAAACATTACAATTCTTCTGCACTTTTGAAAACCGTGTCAACACTATATGGATTTAAATCAAGTTAGTTTGCCACAAAGTTGATGACCACAAGTCACATTCAGTTTCAGTAAAATAGTAGTATTGCAATGACATAATTGCCATGCCCAAGTTAAAACATAATTTTAAAGGTGAATCTCACTTTATCTTTACTTCACTGCTTTACCAGCAGTATTCCAATATATTTCCATATTTCAAGAATTAAGTGACTCTGAGAAACATAGGACTCTACCTCCAGTTCTTGGTGTGAGGAGGACCGTCTTCAACACGAAGCAAAGCATAGCGAGCTGCATTCAGAGACAGTCCTCGGATTCCATCGCCCCATTCTTTTTCCGCTCTTCAGGATACAAAAGTGATTCAATTAACAGGGTCCCATTTATTTATACAGATCAAGTACTTTTTCTCATGTGGGGGATAATGGATGTAAAAAATGATCACTCTCTTTTTGCATGAATGCATGAAAAAACCTTGTCTTGTAGACTTAAATCAAGATTGAAGACTAACCAAGGTGAAGCAGTTCCAGACCCCTTCAAGGTAATTTTTTCCGTATTTATAAATATTTACTATGGTCTATTTTATACTTCAGAAGCATTTTTGTAATGGTGAGAGCTACTTAAGTTGCTTTTTAGCACTAGAATGAATAAGCGAAGGATACTTAAAAGGAATTATTCTAAAGCAGCAAAATTAGTAAATGAAACTTGACTTCACATGGATTAGTATAATGTATCTTGCCCTCAACACCACCACTATAGTCTTCTCCACTTTCTTTCCTTCCCAGCTTCTCTCCCAGAAAGCCTAAAGCTCCAACCATTCTCCTGACCATTTTCAGTCTCCCTACCTTTTCCAGTCCTTTTAATTCCAATATAGGATATTGATGATTGAAATTGGTCAGGACAATGGATTCTATAATGGCAAGGGGTCCTTATCACTTGCCCACCCTCCCTCCCTCTGATTTTCACTCATGAATTTTCTCTGAGCTAAGCTACCTCTAGTAAAGCATCTCCTTCAGCAAGGTAAATGTCCTGGCATGTGCCAGCATTTGAAGAAATTATATATGAATTTGGAATTATGCAAAATTTTATGTATGAACATATATATGTAAAATATATACATGCATGTGGAACTGTTACCATCTGATCTGACTTCCTCACTAAAATCGGGAAATTAATTTCCTTATCATTAGACCAGTAAATAGAGGTGTTATAATCCAGGAAAGCATCTAATCTGGAAATGGAGATATTAAAAGATGGAGGATCCACAGGTGGAACCGTTTATACCAGCTGATCCACTTAAGAGCTGTGCTTAATCACCCATCAAAACAGTGGCCTAGCTTCAATTTCCTGCTCCAAGATATTACTATTTTCTTTCAGCATAGCGTATCTATCCTTAGAAAGGGACAGCATGCTCCTTTACTGATCATAATTACCTGTAGTGTTTATATGTTATTTAGTTGGGGTCTTTGCTGTTTGGTTTTTTTGGGTTTTTTTATGAACACAGCATGTCCTTTAAGACTCATAGTTGCTCAGCATGTCCTACAGGTATGACTGTCTCTTGACAAATGCATACAGTGCAAAGTATGTTGCAATTTAAAGATTAATTCTAGAAAGTAATCAAGTCCACACACACGAAAATGTGAGTTTGAGCTTCTGCACAAGGTAATAATAATCTACAGTCTTGTAATAGCTTCTTGATATTGAAAGGTAATATTCCTGAAGTACCAAAATTACACCATCATCTCTTCTCCAGCGAGAGTTCCCAGACTTATTTGCTCTTATTTCTGTGAGTTCTTGCTGATGAAAAGTATGTAACAGATCTTCCAGAGAAATTCAAATCGGAAAACTTACAACCCTTAACAGAGATCGGATCTTACCTTGTTTCAAAGAATACTCTGAACTTTATTACTTCAGTTGTATCTGTTTTATACAAAAGAGCTTTTTGCTGAATGGTAAAGATATTAAATATAGAATAAATAAGATATATGGTCTTACCCTCTATATTCTATGTATTTGTATATACATCCTGCGATTAGCATGGCAATCAAAGCATAGTACCAAGAGCAAATGAACATCAAGGCAAGACATAAACTCATCCCCACGAATGAAAGAGTCCTAAAAGAAACCATTTTTTTCCATTTTTTTAATAGGCATGCAAATGTTTTACAAAGTTAATTTCTTATTTAAGGTAACTTCCAGAAAGGCCTTTCACCTTCAAAGGCTATTTTTTAGCTATTATAAAATAAAAAATGCATTGTCCCAATTTTAGCTTATATGAAAAAATTGCATTCAGAACCTTTGTGTGACATAAATAATGCATCTAAATCAGCTATAACAATAGATTTACTACATTTGTAGTATACACAGTATTGAAACTTTAGTACCTCCAAGTAAACTCAGTTTCAAAACACATTATCACATACTACTGTTGATTTGAATTTAAGCTAAAAAATTCAAAAAACAACTTTGTTACTTCCAGCAAAAATAGTTGATTAGTTTAAATTCTATTTGACTCATCAATTCTATTATTCATTTCCATTGTGGTCTGTCTCTTGGCCATTAACATAAATCAATAGAATACAGAAAACAATCTTCTAAAGGTTACGAAGAAGAATGAATGTAAGTTGAAAAAATTACAAAATAATTCCCAAACTTAAGTCTATATGCCTGATTTGCCCACATTTATAAAATTTAGATGTAAATCATCTCAAAATTGACAGTTTTGTGTATATTTTTAGTCATATATAACCTCCCAAATTAGTTTTCACCCTATTTCCAAATTACAGCTAACTTTGACTATATTGACAGGTGTGTTGATATAGTTAACTTTGGTTGGTACCTTCAGTTTGGTACTTTAGCGCACTGAGTTCAAATTTAAACTAAGGGAATGCTTTCTACAAGTTCTGAGGACATCAGTCTTGTAGTTTGTATAAAAAAACAACAGCTGCCCTTTCATGCCTGAATTAATCTAAAACACTACTTTCACTCAGAAAAGAAAATGCCACCCCAATTCCTGCTAAACATTCCAACACCTGCTTTGGCTAGAGGTAGTCACACAGTGAGTCAGCTGCCTCACTGATGTCTCTGAGAAAAATACAAAAATGAATTGTTGCCAAATGTATGTATTTGGAGGGTTAGGTGTCAAACTAGTATGTAACTACAGAGCAGATTCAACAAGTTTTATCAAAGCTAAAACTGCAACATTTTGTTTTCACTCAACTCTTTAAAAGGAAAAGCCATAAGTAACTCTTACATCCTAGAATCACGCCAGCTTATCTACTAAATGCTCTAGTATTTAAGGTTATTTCAGCAGTAAAATTTCTCAATAGAATTCTTTTTAATTAAGCTATGTACTTTTAACATACAGTTAGAAAAAAATCAAGAAGCTTCCCAATCTCAGTTTGAGATGTTTAAATTCTTAACCCATTAAAAAAAGATTAAACCAAAAAAACCCCACTTTCACCTTCTGTATTATTACTCATTTTTTAAAGGGTTTACTTCAGTTATCAAATGCAATGTCCAAAGCATATTTTAAAACCAGTCATCACATGATCAATGAACCAACTGATGTATATTGAATGAGACTTTTTTCTGTAGAAGTTTTAGGTTTGTGTATTTTTTGCATAACCAAAATAAAAATTGTCCTAACCTTCCTGAACATTTTTACCAGTTCTCCTTAAGTATATATACAAGGCAGATTTCATGGTTTTTCATACTCATTTTCCCGCAGAAGATGTCTTGGCTTCTAAGCAGAACAAAATGTCATCCTGTAACCCTTTTCCAAACTATCTATATTAGCCACACATTTTCATGATTACTGTTATTACTATGGCACTATTCTAAAAACATGAAAACAAATTATGCTCTTATTGAGTGCATGTATCATAACTCATTTAAGTCAGAAAGGAGATTTTGCTTTATAATTGCAATGAAATTAAAAATTTAGGGCTGTATAGTTAGTTTTAACTCTTCTGAATGAGGAAATATTCCCTACCAGTGGTAATACTTGAAACGAGGTCTCCAGTTGGGAGTTCGCAAAAGCGTCTGAACTGCACAAGCCAGATTTACAAACATATAGCACATAAGGAAAAACCTGTTAAGAAAGGAAGAGCATTTTCTAATAAGAAACGTACTAGACAGATGTGCATTAAAATATAAACACAATCCAAAAAAGGGAAGGAATGTGTCCAGTTTTCTATATACTAGTATACAGCTTTCTGTATACTATGTTCACAGTGGGCAAGAGAACACAAGACACACATTAAGATTGCTTACAGAATATTGGGCCTCAAAATATCGTATTATCATAATATAGAGCCTCAAAGACGTATTTTGGAAACAAACGTGGCAACTAACTGACAATCATGGTGTATCATTTTTGGCTGGGACAGAGTTAATTTTTTTCTTTTTCTATAGTAGCTCAGATGGTATCATGTTCTGGACACAATCAATAAAAAAAATTCTATTCATATTCTAAAGGACTGAATTTTGTCTGTCTCTGTTAGATGCACTTGACCTAAAATAGCAGTAATTATTATTTTAAAATCCAAGTTTTTTGAGAGTTGAACATTATCATTCCAGATCTCTGTCATGGAAAAACATCTTTGTGCCTAGAAATTAGTTCAGTCAAAACAGTTTGTTGTTTCATATTATCTCTAAGATCAAATAGGAATATAATTTGATAGAAAACAAAGTCTAACATGTATTATTTAAAAAAGAAAAATAATTACCTAGTTAATTTTAAAAGAAAACATTATTTAACTTAAGAACATAAAACATCACACTCGTACTTACATTGAAAGAATCGGTGCTACACTGTCCAATGAGGCTATCAAAATTCCTATTTCACAAATACCAACAGTGAGAAGCAGAGCCCAAGTTGGTTCTCCATTTGCTTTTCCATGACCAAAAATCTAGTTCAATTCAAGTTCATAGTAAGATTAGGGAAAGCTGTTCATTAGACAGTAATAAACTATGGTGCAAATCATGAACTAACTTATTTAGTCTAACTTGAACTAAAAGTAGTTATTAGTTACAAAGGAAAATGATACAATCTATCCTGTGAAAAGCCAAAATTAAAATTGCAAAACACACATATCCAATATGAAATATGCTTACTAAAGTAAGCAAATGACTACATAACATTGAAGTCCTATGGAAGCTCTCATTGAAATATTCTTGAGGAAATTAAAAATCATATGCATAAGAGATTTATGCCTAGTAAAAAGCTAATACAGTTTAGGCCAGTACTTTTTGTAACATAGAAATTAGGTGTCAATTCAGTACTTACCAACATAATATTGACCCTTAAAGAGAAACTAGACAAGACTATGATCCTGCACAGTGCCCTACCAAAAAACATTTTGCATGTGGTAATTTCCTTTGTGGAGAATTCTCTACAGCCATACTGATGACAGATGGCAAAATGCCTGAGATTCCAGTGGTATTTATTCTTCTCCATATTCCTCCATTCAAATACAGAAATTAAGATCTCATTCATTCTCCATGTTGTCCTCTTCTTTTAGCTTCCTGTCCTCCATCTATTTTCCTACTATTATATTGAAATCCTTTTCTTTTCTACTCATGTTTCAAGTCTTTAGTTTTTTTCTTAAATATGTCAGTCTTGCTTCTATAATAATGTCCTTGCGTTTCCTTGATTATCCATGCAGTAACCATATCACTCCAAAACAACAAGTGCATCCTTAAGTGTCAAATTCTTCTCTAAATAGCCTGCTTCTCTTCAATTCTCCTTCTTTCACTTCCAGAACCACAAATCTTTCCTTTTGATTCTCCATTCCTTTCAAGTCTAACTCTCAGGATGTGTAATCATAATGTCACCTTCTCTCTACCAAATTTTTGCTTCAGGCAAAAGTAAATCTTTCTTGTTTCTTTTTCTCTACATTACCCAGAACTTACAACCTACTCCATTACAGCCCCTTTCCATTGACAAGTCAAACTCCACCACTACTCAGTCCCTCCACCCTAGCATACTTAGTGTATTTATTTCCTGTTACAGATAGTCTTGCAAGTCTTGTGGTAAGCTTTCAAACTCCAAACTTCACCATACAGATCACAGCTTTGCTCTCCAGACAGTATAATCTTTTGGAGTTTTATTTACTTTTTTTTAACTCAAGTGTAGTTTAGGTTTTGCAGAGGCAGCCCAGCAAGAATTCTCTTATCATCTTCTGTTTGCCAGCTCCCTTACTTTGAGAAAAATCTGATTTATTTCTTCTTAAAACATGCACTTGGAACAAATCTTCATATTTGGAGTAATGGGATAGAATTCTATTGTTCTATTTACTGACTTAATTTACCTTACAAAAATGGATAAAAATAAGAATTTCATCTCTGTAATATGAGAAGTTTTATGCAGTTCCATAGTGAGATTAAATAACACTGTTCACAAATACATGCAGTAAACACAGCCTAGAGTCTAGAAGTTCAGTTATGAATTGCTTCTTAATTAATTTATTTCCATTTATAGAATACTAGGTTCTCAGTTTGGAACCAACAACTTTTTTGTGTAAAATCAAATATAATTAAATTGCAATGCACAAAAATGAAGCTCAAATTTGTCCTACAATAGCCTGATCAGTTATTGTACAGAAATAGAACTGAGCTCCAAATCTTTTCTTCATACTCTACAGGAACAGCTGAATTAATGTGTCAATTTTTTTTTTTCCAAAATACTGTAACAACATGAATAAAAAAGTCTCACTTGAATAAACGGCACAATGCCATCTCTTGCAATGGCCTGCAATAGCCGGGGTGCACCAGTGAGACTCTGGAGACCAGCACCGCATGTTGAAAAGAATGAACCAATCACAATAACCCATGGAGAAGGCCAGGCTAATGTACCAACCACCAGATTTCCATTAACTGCTTCTCCAAACCTTAGGAAAGAAAAGGGAAACAAAAATAATTAAAACAAAACAAAAAAAAGAATCAGTAAGCATTAAAATAACTTTTACTATAGCTTCAACACCCACATTTCAATCTTTCTGGACAACAGCACTTTTTGACAATAAACACTGTGTTACAGTATGCACTATAGGATTTCCCAACCAAGTAATCTCTCTTTATTGTGCTGTTTTAAAGAAGACATTATAATCACGTCATATTAAGTGCTGCCTCTAAGCAGATATGCAGCAATTATCAGATATCATTTCTGAATAAAACAATAGCAGAGTATGTACATTTGTATCTTACAGATCCTTGTAAGAGCTAGGAACTAGTTTGCAGAAATCTGTTCCACTATATATACAAGTATACCCTGGGGCATAAGCAGGAGATTCACAAAAAGTATTAGCCTTTCCTTTTAAAAGTGTGACACTGACATACAAAAAGTAGAGAAATTACCAGACACAACCATTTTGAGTTTTCAACATCTTCTGGCTGTTGTGCAACCTGACGCAATTTTTAATTTACTAGAGCAAACAAGTGGGTAGAAGTCAGGAAGAGGTGCTTTCATTACAGTCCTGAGTATCCCATCCAATACTACCTCCACTTTTTTTTTTAGATACCCAACTTTATGTTAATTTAGGCATTACTTGAATAAACTACAAAAAAGTTATTCCACCCTACCCCCTCCTTTGAACTGGCAGTTTTGTTTTAAAAGCAAGTAAGGTTTTTCTTGTTCATCTTACTGTTGTTAGTAAGCAGCCAAAATTAATTTTAAGGTTATCTCTACTGTGATATGACCATTATTTTTTCCTAATGTGTTCCGTTTTTTCTTAATAAAAGAAAAAGTCTACAGAAATAAGACAAGAGAAAAATTAAGGAAAATTAAATGTTTTTTGTCTTTTCAGACCTGCTTTTAAAAATAGGGTCAAGAGACACAGCAATGAAGTGACTATAATACACTGATGTTTAAATTCTTGCTTATGCCCAAGTTGGGATGCATGACTATGTACTATTTTCAGCAGATGAAGAAAAAAAAGGTAAATCACACTCCTCAAAATTTAGGATAAAATCCATATTGCACTTCTATAATAAGATTTCTATAACTGTATTTAATTCTTAGTTCAAATTCTAATGCCTATTTTTCAACTAAACACAGGATAGGAATAACTTCAAGAGATGCAAAAACCAGAAAAAATGTACAACCTACTTTTTCTCATTGCAGATATGACCATCAAAATGAAAAAAGCCTCAGAACCCAGTTTTTAGACCAGACCGAAAATCCACACACTTTCAGCTGAATTTCAGCCAAGTGAGAACTGGCAGCAATGTAAATGAAAGCTCATGGACTCAAGATTCTTGCTACCTGCTCTAAGGATAGCTAAGAGCTTACAAAATTCCCTCACCCCCCTCTTGCCTGGTAAATTTCAAAAATATGAGTTTAGCTCTGCTTTAATTTCTTATTTCAGAATTCATTTACTATTTCCTAGGCAGTTTGATTTGGCTTTTATATTTATGATGAAGAAAAAACTAACAGATATTTTCACTGATACAGCAATATCGCTTTAAAGTAAAAGTCACAGAATCACAGAACGAGTAATATTGGAAGGAACCACAGTAGGTCATCTAGTCCAACCTCCTTGCTCAAGCAGAGTACAATGCACAGGATTGTGTCCAGACACTTCCTGAATATCTCTAGTGGCAGAGACACCAAAACCTCTCCAGGCAATCTGTTCCAGTGCACAATCACTTGCACAGTAAAGACGTTCTTCCTCATATTCATGTGGAACTTCCTGTGCATCAGTTTCTGCCCATTGTTTTTTCCTGTTGGTTGGCAACACTGATAAGAGCCCAGGTCCATCTTCTTAGCACCCCTCCTTTAGTTACTTAAATACACTGATGAGGTCCCCTCTCAGTTGTCTCTTCTTTAGGCTGAACAGGCCCAGTTCCCTCAGCCTTTCCTCATAAGAGGGATGCTCCAATCCCTTTATCATCTTCATAGCCCTCCACTGGACCTCCAGAGGCTCCATGTCACTCATGTACTGAGGAGCCCAGAAATGGACACAGCAGTCCAAATGCAGTCTCACCAGGGCTGAGTGGAGGGGAAGAACGATCTCCCTTGACCCACTGGCAACGCTCTTCCTCCTAATGCAAACAAGGATTATGTTGCAGTAACGTAGAAAAATCATAAAAGAAAGGCCTCATAAGATCAGGCCTGGTCTCCTGGAATCAGTGGCTGGCCTTGTCAAGGTAGCACTTTACAAATTCCTATGTGAAAGCCATTATGGCGTGAGCAGTTTGCTAACATAACAATCTATTCCTGGGTGAAAAACAACTAGCACCTGTGTAAACTGTTTTTTCACCATTAGATAGAAAAATGAAAACTATCTCTCACAAGCAACATTTCCTGCACGTACACACCAGGGGTTTCAGTGACCAATCAGTACAGGATAACAACTTGTTATTAACCAATAAAGTAATTGATACGAAAGCTACTTGTAGGAATCCGTAAAATCAGAGGGTTTTGGGAAAGCTGCAAAAGACAGGCCTCAGAGACAGCAAAATTGCAATTAGAGCTAAGCAGTAGCTGTAAGATTTGTCAGCAGAAAAATTATATAAGAAGTAGAAAAGTAAGGACAAATAGAACAATGGTCTGTCTATTAGTGCTTGTCTAGAATAACTCTCTAAGCTGCAGAAAAGTACATCTAGCAAGATATTAGGAAGTTCTAAGCTTAGTAATGGAGCTTTGTGCATTGTGTTTTAAGGCTTTCAAGCAGATACTGTATGTGAAATAAGCAAGCATTGTTTTAACCAAAGGTATGTGTGCTTATAGTGGTTGGATAGAACTACTGCCAATATGCTTTTGCTTTGTGTGATTGATTAAAAAACTTTTAAAGTAAGTTGTAACATTAAGTTCTTTGTCTGCTGTCTGGGATGTGAGCTGCTGGCATCTTCCCATTGTCATAACCATGTAATGAGACTGATGCTGGAAAATACAACAGCTTGAGGCGCGTTCTTAGCAGTCCCATCCTGTTCATAATGTTTACAGAGACCTCTGACCGGCGACAAATGGTGCTCTTTTGTGAAGAGGATTGTTAGATTAGAGGAATAAAAAAGAAGACTGTGGGCAGTGCTGTCGCTGGAGGCCCAGGCTGTTAATAGAAGGAATGGATCATCCCCTTTGTCATCTCTAGCTGATATCCTTGTAAGTAATAAATAGCAACTTCAGGGACTTCTGGGCAATGAGATGAGAAACAATCTATCTAAAACAGAATTGAATATCTTTTACCAGCTTGAGACAATTTTACAGGATAAAGGATATTCAGACATCTTAAAACATAAACTAAAAGACTTATTAATCTGGGTAAAAGCAAATATTTAAAATATAGACTTGAAGTCTGCTTTTACCTTTGATTTCTGGGATCAGATAAACTGGAAAATTTACAATCTAGTCTCTTTCAAAAAGGAAGAGACTTTGGTCAAACTAATTACTGTCTCCAGAGTTTAAATGGAGAACTGTAAATAGTATGATTGTAATAGAGACTTTCTCGAACACCAAAACAGAACACTTGGTTCTGAGACTTTAATTCCAAGTGGTGCTGGCTCTTCGTTCTCCTCTGTGGGGATCTCAGGTTTTGTTCAGGGTTCCTTCTCTTCTCCTGATGTGTACAGGATTTCCTCAGGCAGTGTGGACAGCAACCCAATCCCCAGGAAGGGGGAATCAAACCAGCTTCCAGCTTCATTTTGTTTCTTCCAGGATTTCCTGCATCACTGATGCTGTGACGAGGCATCCTCTCATTCCCAGATGAAATCATCCACTCCCGGAATTCCTGGGAAAGCATTTGGGATTTTTGTTGTGTTCCAAGAATTTGGGGAGTTGGCAGTCGAGTTCTGGGGAGGTTGGGAGTCTAACAGGTCCAGGAGATGAGTTTGGAGATGCTTTGCAAAACAGGGTCTGCTGTTTCTGTGCCCCGCTCCTCTTCTGAACAAGTTGTGGACGGATCTTGTTCTGAATTTGTGCAGGCGAGGACTGCTGAGGGGAGCTCTGGATCCACTCTGCCTGGCTGAGGGGCTGTGGGGGACACCCCTGCCACAGTTTCCCCTTCCCAGGAAGTCACTCCCTCGGATTTGGCTCAGGTGGGAAGATTGCTTTGCAGTTCCAAGAGCTCTTTTTGTATTAATTCCTCCCCCAAGCCTCTTCCAGTGTTTTCACTGCCTTTAGCACCCCAGCCTCTGGTTATAGCTGGTGGATTTGGCTCTGCCTGCAGAGGAGCGGGCAGGGGGCAGGACAGAGGTAGCAGGCAGCAGTCAGGGGTTGAGCAGGGCTGGGATGGCTCTGGCCAGAAAGATGAATGGGGCGGAGGCAGGAGAGCTCAGGAAAGTTTCTGTGGAGACACAGATCATTTAGAAGCCTTGAAGCCCGTCTCAGTCACTGCTGGGGGTGGGGAAAAGCATGCTGAGATATCAGCTGGGAGCGGACAGTTTTCCAGCTGCATCCTTGTTGTCAGGGGCATGGTGTGGAACCTGTAACAGTTCATTGGAAAGTGTCACAAATACAAATTTGGGATCTGCAGCTTGAGAGCAGCCCGATGTGTGTGAATCTAAAAAGACCAAATTTAGTGAATTGAGATGTGATTTAGTAGGCTCTGGCTTTCTTCCTGTAACCAATACAACACATTCCTCAGCTGCTACCTCCAGCAGGGGGGGCATTGTTGGGAATGTGGACCTCTCATCCTCCACTCTTCCTGGCAGGGCTCCCAGGAAAGCTTGTTGCTGTGGCAACACTACTGCCAAGAGCTTGGAGCTTCTTGGCAGGGTTCCTGGGACAGCTGATTGCTGTGACAACACTACATGTTCTTCTGTATCAGACACAGGAGTGATGAGAGGGAAAAACAAAATACAGTCTAAATCAAAGGTAAACCTTACATTTCAACTACCTAATTGGTCTAATATTAATAAAAATTTAGAAAAATATTTGGATTCAAATAAACAA